CTCGCCCCCGCCGAAGCAGAGGACATGGCCCTCGACGATCTTGCGATGAAGCAGGCTTACGCGCACATCGAGGCCTCGCCTCTGTAGCTGGACTCCATATCCGAAACCGCCACTGCCGCCACGGTGGCGGAGGCTAGGTTTAGGGTTTCTAGTTAGGGTCGTGCCCTCAGCCACAAGGGAACAGGCCACCGCTTGTCGAGGAGGAAGACGCGCGTAGGGCTAGCAGTGACTGCAGCCTGTGGGGCTACGCCCCAACCATGGGGCCGGCCATGGCGGAGGCCTGGCCAGCTGCGCCCCTAGCTAAGGTGCAGGCCAAACACTAGGAGAGGAGTGCTAGGGAAGAAGGTGTGGAGAGGCGGCAGTGGAAGTCGTGCATTCATGCGAGGTTTTCTTCTTTCCGTGGTTACTCATTGTGTTTTTTCGAGGAAAAAAGAGACCAGCAGGGATCGAACTGTGGCTGCCTAGTGCCGGTGTGGGGGCTGGAGGCAGAGGCCACACAACCGCGGGGCATGAGGTGCAGACACATTGAATGATAGCCATTGAATTTGGTAGAGTAAGGAGAGAAAATAACATAATTGATAATCACCGCCACCACTTTCACTGCTGGTTTGCTAAAAAACGGTAGTGATAATCATCACTGCCGGTTTGTATTATGAATCGTTAGTGAAATGATTTTCACCACCGGTTCATGTTACAAAACGTTGTTGAAAATATGGGCGATTATCACCGCGGGCTGGTAACACGAAACGGCGGTGATAACCAATCACTACCGTTGGTTTGTGTTCGCATCCGGTGGTGATGGCGACCCATTTTTGACCGTCGCTTTGTGTTACCAACGACTGGACTTATGCTGCAGCACAATAAAATTCATAAAAATTTCAAACAAAGTCGAATGAAAACAAACTTTATATCAAATTTGTATAAGTCGACGAGATCTACAACTTTGTAGTTGATGACTTTTTCATTTGAAATCATTTACGGTCCCAGAATTCCGTTTGAAGTTCTCATATTTTAAAATTCAACTTTCTCGAATTGTATATACTGTCTCAGATGAAAAAAAGATCAGAAGCAAAGTTGTAGATTTCGATGTGATCTACAATTTTGTAGTTGATGATTTTTTCAATTGAAACCATTTAGTCTCAAATTTGTATCTGAGGTTCTAAAATTTTAAAATTTAAAATTTTCAAACAACCTTGGATGGAAAATCGACCAAAACCAAAATTGTAGATCTCGATGAGGACTACAACTTTATAGTTAATGAGTTTTTCATTTGAAATAATTTGAGGTCCCAAGTATGACTTAAGTTCCCACACTTTTAAATTCAAATTGTTCAAATGACTTCGGATGGCGAAACGACCAACATCAAAGTTGTAGATGTCGATCAGAACAACAACTTTGTAGTTGATGACTTTGTCAACTGAAGTCGTTTAGGGTTCTAAATATTCATTTCAAAATCATGAGTAGTGAATACTAAGGGAATGAATATGACATATAGACACAAGTGACTTAGGAGTGGAGTGGTTTGAACAGCTAAGCTCAAGGACAAAGGTCTCAGGTTCGAAATCCACCACTGCACTCTTTTCATATGAAAAATCACGTGACTTGTGACATCATGGGATTAAATCAAAATTTTGACCTATTTTTTGACCTGATTTTGGAATTTCTGGAAATCCTAATGTTCGCCGGCCGAATCGGTGGTGATAGATTATCATCATCGCCTATTCACAACTGGCGGTATGACCAACAACTTTCACCGCCAAGAGCCAAAACTGGCGGTGACGAGGGGTCTGGAGCTGGCGGTGATGAACATTCTGTATTACTGATGTTGCATTTCTGGGTGCAATTGTTGGTCTTGATGGAGTAAAGGTTATCTCTTCGGAGCAGGCAAATTGCGGGGTGAATCTACAATAATTGTAACTGATGGTTTATTTAGAGGTAGAGACTAGTATTCGCTGCATGGGTCTCGGTGATTGAGGTGATATATATCCGTGGCATGGTAATTAATTTTCCAAGAGTTGTACTACTAATTTACACGTTCTCTATTATTACAACAGATTTTTTGTTAGTTGGGTCCGTCGTTTTCCGTCCTTTGTTGCATCGTTGGAATTTGGAAACAGATCGGACTCCGTATTCTACTCCAACTCAACTGACCCGGCCGGGCTGTGTTCATATATCTGGGAAAATAATTCCATCTATGGCGAGGAACAAACCCGAACGATAATGGAAGCGAAACGAACAAAGCATGACGGCGGCGTGTTGCTGCCGGAGGACGTCGTCTTCGAGGTGCTAGCCAGGCTGCCGGCGAAGACGCTGTGCCGGTTCCGGTGCGTCTGCAAGGGCTGGCGCGCCCTCATCGCCAACCCTGCCTTCGTCGCCGCGCAGAGATCTCGTGCCGGGCCGCACCTCGTCGGCGTGTTATACAAAGGCTGGCCGCCGGAGGTGCGGGTGATGGACATGGACGGCAACGTGGTCAGGGCGTTAGAGATGACGAGGAGCACGCCGCTGCCCACGCGGCCAGACCTCATCTGCGTTGACGGAAACCATTTATCGCGGCAAGGTGGCATGGTCATCGATCCGGCGGCCGGGCGAGCGTTCACCGTCGACTTCAGCGGGAGCGATCCACCAGCTCCCCGGGGCTTCACCTACTCCACGAGCTTTGGCCGTGCTGCGCCGTCCGGCGCCTTCAAGTTCATCCGCCTGCAGGAACCTTTGTCGTGGAATGACGACGGCGGTGGCCACATGCTCACCGAGGTTGCCACCATCATTGACGGTGACAGCACAGAGCCACCGACATGGAGGCGAAGGTCAGCACCGCCTTTTGTTACCGGCCCAGGCTGTGATCAGAAGGCCATAGTCAATGGGTTTCTCTACTGCATCTCTTGCAAGCTCGAGATTGGTGGTGACGTCGATGGTGAAGATGATACAGCTCCGAGCTGGAACCGCATAGCCACTTTCGACCTCGAGAGGGAAGAGTGGAAGGCGGAGGTGATTATTGGCCCCACATTGATGAGGCACCACAAGGCGGAGGAGATATGGTGCATTGCTCTAGTCGAGATCAAGGGAACCTTAGCTATGGTTGACGCACACGTGGACAGTGACCAGGATGTGAGCATATGGCTCTTAGTTGATCCAGACAAGAGTGTGTGGGTCAAAGAGTGTACGATACAGATGCCTAAAAAGTACACATGGACTACAAAGCTATTGGGCGATGTCTTGGGTGATAGAAGAATGTTATTGCGAGTAAGGAGGATGGAGAAAGAATCAAGACAAAATAAGAATAGCTATGATTTTCGAGATGCCCTTCTATTCTACAACCCTAGCACGAAGGCGTTTACAGACTTGTGGAGATCGCAATCGGATTCAGACATACATTGGTCTTTTTACACTGGGAGCCTCTTGTCTTGACAAATAAGTGCCGACAAACATCAAAGTACATAGATGCATCATGTTAAAGGTAATGCAGATGATGTAGACACAACTTGTGTTTCAATGCAATGAAATAATCATTCAGTGTTTATTACACATTCGATGATGATACAACTAGCGAGTGATAAAGGAGTAACTATCTCAATGTTCAGTTGAAATAATCTAAGTATTTGCAAAAGTTTCATTGCAATGGCTGATCATCAATTAGCTTTACTAACAAAACGTGCATGTGTGTTGCAATTGAACTCAATACGTACAGGAATCAGAGTGCATATTATCGCTAAACATGTCGTTCTAACTTGTATGAGTAGGTCATGAGTCCGAATCACCTACGAAATATGGAGGGCACAATCCAATACAAATTGGAATAGGACCCTGTATCCACCATTGCTAGACGCGAGTTGGTCGTACTCATATCATGAGTATGGGTCAAGTAAAAAAAAGTATGATAGAAGAAACTCTTCACTATTCGGATAGGTAGATATAGGTGGACAAAAATATGGGATGAAATTTTGGCTCTTTCGTACTATTACGTAGATTTGTGTACCTTTTCTGGTTATTGTACGAGCGAGAGCCTTGCCATGATGGGCCAAATGCGTGCCTCGTCGTATCCATTTTTTACAAGCCAAATATTTTTTTACAGGTGGGTAGAAATGGGCCATGCATGCTTTCCAGTACGGCACACATTACTGGAAAACAGATTTTTACAGGCAGGAATATAATATTAACTGAGGTGGGTAAGGTGCCCGGCTCTATAGTGGAAGGTCTCTGTAATCGTGATTTTCGAACACATATATGGAGACCACCTGTGTTGCTGAATTACTAGAGGCAGGTGTCATAGAACGCTCGCATCTTGAACGCTCGCATCTTGAAATCGATTTTAAAAATAACAAAAGCTACAGAACTAGTGTCGTTCTTTGTGCGCCAATGTGCCAAGCTTGCCGCCATCACCGCTGCGCCCAAAACCGACCCTGCTGCACTCCTCGGTACCGAAGCTTGGTGGATTGAGCACCACTAGCCCGGATCTTTCCTACCCCTGCCATATTGGGGCGCGAAGGCGCGTATCGAGTTGCCTCTGTCAAAATAAACCTTGTTGCCTATGCTGCACTCATCATCCTCCACGGCCGTGCCACCCTATGAGGAGATAGGGATCACTACTACAGAATTTAACTGTTGGGGCGGCTGCGCCAGCCGCCCTTCCTAGGGTGTTCCTACAGAGGGTGTCTCTATAGGGGCGGTTTCCTGACCGCCCCTGCAGTGCCCTCTGTAGGGGCGGCTGGTGTTTTCAGCCGCCCCTACAGTGCCCTCTATAGGGGCGGCTGGTAATATCAGCCGCCCCTACAGTGGACTTCTGTAAGGGCGGCTGTATCACCAGCCGCCCCTGCTGTGTGTATTTGTAAGGGCGGTTCAATCAAGAACCGCCCCTACAGTGGATTTTCTAGAAAAAAAATAATTTAAATTCAAATCTGACCACATATATATATATATATATATATAATTTAAATTAAGTAACAATAATCTTTTCTCAACTCTGACATATATTTAAGCATTTCCAGGAAGTACACCAATTCACACTAAACATTTTGACACTGGTTTCACAAAATCACAGCAAGTAAATACAACTAGAATAATAAAGTTCAAACATTCGCTCTAGCCAACACTGAAAATTCAGTACATTTGATGCAGTCACAACTACACATGCAGATATTGCTACTGCTAAGAAATCTCCATGGAGACAAATAATTGTTAAGAATGTAAAAATAAGTGGTGTGTGATGTACCGTGAATCAGGAACAAGCACCAAGAATTTGCATAAATAACAGAGAGCATCTTACCATTGTTGGGTTAAATCCAAATCCACCGCCCATTTGCATCATTTTTTGTGCATCATCAGTTGCTGCACATCCAGACAAAGATAATCAAACCACCAGGCAATGCAAAACAATAAATAAACACCACTAACAAGTTTTCCAGAGATAAAGGTGAGTATCATTACCGTTTTCTTCACCAAGAATCAGACTGAAAAGACCCCTCAAGCCAAATAAATTGAGGAAATACCTATCAATAACAGCAAACGTTAGAGATTATAGAGCTCCTAGTCACTATCATCAAGGTAATTCCTTGACACAAAGATAATAATTCTATACATACCATGAACGGCTGCTGACATAGCTGACAGCAACAGTGCTCAGGTCAATCCCATTTTGCAGCATTCCCCTGAATCTCTGAGTCAACGGAAAGGGGATTTTCGCTGAAAAGAGATTGGCATATATGTGAGCATGCTTCAACTACATACAATTGGAGATAAGACATGATAACAAAACAGCAAAAGCAAATAATACACATGGGTATATGTCTGCTCTATTACGTGAAATCTGCTAACTACTAATTTCATCAGAAGTATTTAATTCTTAACAATGCATCTCTAAGTTTTATTGGGATCACAAGCCAGGAATTGAAAAGTGCTAGATAGAGAACGTGACTATAAAATAGCATTTTACCCTATCATTTTCAATTTAAAAGTAAAAAGAAATGGCAACTTCAGAACATAGTTTTGGTATCAGGTTTCTTCCAAAGATTGCAAATTGCCATACCAAAATGTGTTAAAAAATCATTTCCATCATCTATTGATGATACCATAAGATAAAGTTCAGGTGTGTTTATATACAATAACTTTGCAAAGACTCAAAAGGTAGAATTGAGCTTCTGGAATTAACAGAGGTGATCTTATAATAGCATTGAATTGGAATTAATATGAGGATTAAACTTGTAGTTTGAGATATGAGAAGATCAGTATCCCAAATCATATATATATATTAAGCAAATATGGACATACCGCAACAAAACCTGAAAAGAAAAAGTTCACCCATGCAAATGTAAGTGTTCCGTAAAAAAGACAAAACAGCATGTTAATATAAGGTAGAATGCCACACAGATAGCCAACTATCTTTTGCAACACAAATAATTCAATGTGAGAACATAGGACCCGAGGAACTATCATGGATAGATTCTTCTTCATCATGTCCATGGCCATGTTTGGATCTCGAAAACATGGCTGCTCGAGCCTCTCGCGCCTCTTCCTTTGGAACATGAAGTAATCCATTTTCCTACAATCACTAGATATGGGATAAGGTAGCACCGACCAGTCCTGCTACATACCTACTATTGTAACCGCATTTCTAATACTCAATCACCAACACAGAAACCATGACAAAACAAACAAAAAGTAATACTACGTTTTGCTTCCTTGCATCTAACAATATCAAGAGGAGGCCAACCCTTGCACCTAACAATAGCAAGAAGATGGCACTTGCTATTTCACGAGAAAGGAAGCGTATTCTAATGACTAAAATGAGCACCTCCCGGTCTAAGCTCTCTTACTCAAATTCATGACAACAATCGATGCTTACAACGATAGCTAAGTAAAGACCTAATGAGAATGTAAGTTTTGCTCGATTCTAAGTGGCACAGATCAATCCTTCCAACCAAATGAAATTGGTGTGTGACCGATTGAAAGGGGAGACTAGTCTAATGACAAAAATGAGGACCTACCAGCCTAAGCTCGTTTCTAAGAAACAAAATCATGACCGCAGATGCTTATACAACGTATATATAGCTAACAAAAGAACTAATGATGAGGTTCTCAGATGATTCTAAGTGGCACAGAGCAATCCTTGCAACCAAAATGAAACTAGTTGCATGACGAATTGAAATGAAAGGATATGGGATAAGGTAGCACCGACCAGTTCCTCGCCGAGGACCTCCTCGGCGCGGTAGCCCGTGGCTTCCTCGAAGCCGCGGTTGACGAGATGATGGGGCGATCGGGCTCGAAAGCGCGTCGGTGACGACGAGAGCCCGCACGGCTCGGACGCTGCGCAAGCAGCATGCCTTCAATCATGAACGTGAACATCCCACCAGCTCCCGGCGTCGCTACCTCCACCCTCGCCTCCCGCTCCTCCCCTCCTCCTCCTGCTCCTCCGCGCTGCCGCCGACGCCGCCGCGGCGTTGTCGACTTCGCTGTCCCACTCCATGGCGGTGCCGCCGAGGACGGCGGAACCCTAGCTCCCGATCCGGGCTCCCCCCGCATGCGTGCGGTCAGGCCCATGGATGCCACGCAGCGTGAGGCGTGGCGCGGGTGGCCTAGGGTTTGGTTGGCTGGCCTAGCTCGAGTATGGATTGGGTTTTGGGCGGAGGCCAAGGGAGGGAAGCGAGCCATGAGCGGAATGGACGGAGGTCGTGGGTTGGGCTTGGCTTGGAATTGGCGGGAGGAAGCCTCATTGTCTCGGGATCAAGCTGGTCGTATATGGCGTCTGTCACGACGCTGGCCGTAGTATTAGTATTCGTGTACACTTGTACTTTTTTTTAAACATGTCATACTTATTTTCTTCCCAAACATTATTAAGGTAGATGTCACCGATGCTTATTGTGTTTATTATGGGTGCCAGGTTGCTTAAATGATTTTTTCGAAGATTCATGGTTTTTCTGCTTTTATTTGTACTGTATTTGCCAAGCTTTTCCGTTGACACTTTAGGAGCTAAAATCAAAGTTGTAGAGGTCGTGAAGATCTACAACTTTATTTTGGTCATCTTGTCATTTGACAAAATTTGAACCTTTTAAATTTGAAATTTTAAAAAATCACAAGTTCGAACCAAAATTTGAGACCCAAAATAATTTCAACATAAAAAGTGATGAATACCAAAGTTGTTCAACTCATTAATATCTACAACTTTTATTTTAGTCATCTTATCATTTGACAAAATTTGAACCTTTTAAATTTGAAATTTTGAAAAATGACAAGTTTGAACCAAAATTTGAGACCCAAATTGATTTCAACGTAAAAAGTGATGAATACCAAAGTTGTTCAACTCATGAATATCTACAACTTTTATTTTGGTCATTTCTTCATTTGACAAATTCTTAGCACACATTGTTCACTAATCTTACACATGTCTCATATAGTTTATAAAACCTTATGAGAGATGTGTCACATTTGTGAACAATGTCATTACCACTTTGTCATATAAAGAAATGACCAATACAAAAGTTGTAGATCTTGATGTGTTATTCAACTTTGGTATTTATCACTTTTTCAGCTCAAATCTTTTGGGGTACCAAAATCTTGTCTGAAGTTGTCTTTTATTGAAATTCAAAATTTAAATTGCTCAAACTTTTCATATGTATATATTGACAAAACCAACAAAATAAATTGATAGAGAATGATTTTAGAAAATTTTAGGAAAAAAAATCATCAGATTTGGAGTTAGTATGAGGAAGAAAAACTAGTTACAAAGTTGACCCACAAATTAAAAAAAGAAATCACACTGTTCACTACGATCATGTAAGGATCATCTAGAACAGTGTGATTTTTCTTTTTAATCTGTGGGTAAACTTTGTAACTAGTTGTTCTCCCTCATACTAACTTCAAATATGATGGTTTTTTTTCATAAACATTTCTAAAATCATGCTTCAGCATTTAAGTTTGATCAAGCTTGGATGTGACAATGTTTTACACATTTTATATTTTGAAATTTGAAATGTGACAAGTTCAAACCAAATTTTAAAACCCTAAATGATTTCAGATGTAAAAGTGACGAATATAAAAGTTGTTCAACTCATCAATATCTACAACTTTTCAACTCATCAATATCTACAACTTTTATTTTGGTCATCTTGTCATTTGACAAAATTTGAACCTTTCAAATTTGAAATTTTAAAAAAGAACAAGTTCGAACCAAAATTTGAGACCCAAAATGATTTCAACATAAAAAGTGATGAATACCAAACTTGTTCAACTCATTAATATCTACAACTTTTATTTTAGTCATCTTGTCATTTGAAAAAAAATTGAACCTTTCAAATTTGAAATTTTGAAAAACAACAAGTTCGAACCAAAATTTGAGACCCAAATTGATTTCAACGTAAAAAGTGATGAATACCAAAGTTGTTCAACTCATGAATATGTACTACTTTTATTTTGATCATTTCTTCATTTGACAAATTCTTAGCACACATTGTTCACTAATCTTACACATGTCTCATATAGTTTATAAAACCTTATGAGAGATGTGTCACATTTGTGAACAATGTCATTACCACTTTGTCATATAAAGAAATGACCAATACAAAAGTTGTAGATCTTGATGAGTTATTCAACTTTGGTATTTATCACTTTTTCAGCTGAAATCATTTGGGGTACCAAAATCTTGTGTGAAGTTCCATTTTATTGAAATTCAAAATTTAAATTGCTCAAACTTTTCATATGTATATATTGACAAAACCAACAAAATAAATTGATAGAGAATGATTTTAGAAAATTTTAGAAAAAAAATCATCAGATTTGGAGTTAGTATGAGGAAAAAAAACTAGTTACAAAGTTGACCCACAGATTAAAAAAAGAAATCACACTGTTCACTACGATCATGTAAGGATCATCTAGAACATTGTGATTTCTCTTTTTAATATGTGGGTAAACTTTGTAACTAGTTGTTCTCCCTCATACTAACTCCAAATGTGATGGTTTTTTTTCCTAAAAATTTCTAAAATGATGCTTCAGCATTTAAGTTTGATCAAACTTGGATGTGACAATGTTTTACACATTTGAAATTTTGAAATTTAAAATTTGACAAGTTCAAACCAAATTTTAAAACCCTAAATGATTTCAGATGTAAAAGTGATGAATACAAAAGTTGTTTAGCTCATCAAGATCTACAATTTTTATTTTGGTCATCTTATCATTTGACTAAATTTGAACCTTTCAAATTTTGAAATTTTAAAAAAGACAAATGGGCACTGCAGGGGCGGCTGGTGATTGAGCCGCCCCTACAGATCAACCCCAACTATAGGGGCGGCTCAAGTTACCAGCCGCCCCTACAGTGCCATCTGTAGGGGCGGCTGGGCTGCTGGGGCCCGAGGACGCCCACTGTAGGGCGCCCCCAACCCTAGCCGCCCCTACAGTAAAAATGCCCCCGTTCCTACAGTAAGAATCTGGCGTAGTGGATAGCAAGGGAGATCGAGACAGGTGATGAGAGGGAGAGAGACGTTAGGGAGCCACACCTGCCGCTGACTACCTCCTTTGCGCCAGAGATTCGCCAGTGCCACCCTCCTTCACGCCAGCTCTCTGGTGGGCACTAGAGAGAAGGAATACTGGGATTCTAGAGCGGTCTGCTCATTGCAAGGGCACTTGAACCCTTTGCCAAGTTTTGATGCCGCTGGTGCATTTGTGAACAATGTTTACATGACTTTATCGGATGAAGAAATGATCAAAATAAAAGTTCTAGATCTTGATCAGTTCTACAATTTTTATGTTCATGACTTTTTCAGCTGAAATCATTTACTCCTTCAAAATATTGTTTGAAGTTGTCATTTTTTGAAATTCAAATTTTGAATTGATAAAACAAAGTGATATGAAAAGATGACCAAAATATTAGCTGTAAGAACACAACAAATTGATAGAGCATGATTTTTAAAAATTTTAGGGAAAAATCATCAAATTTGAAGTTAGTATGAGGAAAAAATCATCAAGCTTTTCTTCAATTGGTGCTACCCCAAATCTATCACGTATATCATCGTTCTGAACTTGATCCCTTCTTATATGACCACAAATCCAACGCGACATACGCATTTCCGCGACACTTATCTGTTGAACATGTCGTCTTTTCATAGGCCAACATTCTACACCATACAACATAGCAGGTCTAATCGTCGTCCTATAAAACTTGCATTTTAGCTTCTGTGGTACCCTTTTGTCACATAGGAGACTAGATGCTTGGGGCCACTTCATCTACCCTGCTTTGATTCTATGGCTAACATCTTCATCAATATCCCCGTCTCTCTGTAGCATTGATCCTAAATATCGAAATGTATCCTTCCTAGGCACTACTTGACCTTTCAAACTAATATCTTCCTCCTCCCGAGTAGTAGTTTCGAAGTCACATCTCATATACTCAGTTTTAGTTCTACCGTCATAACTCCAGTTTCTGATTCACTCTTGTTCGGCTTTCATCAACTAGCACTACATCGTCCGTGAAAAGCATACATCAAGGGATATCCCCTTGTATGTCCCTTGTGACTTCATCCATCACTAAGGCAAACAGATAAGGGCTCAAAGGTGACCCTTGATGTAGTCCTATCCTAATCGGGAAGTCATCCGTGTCTCCATCGCTTGTTCGAACACTAGTCACAACATTGTTGTACATGTCTTTAATGAGCCCGACGTACTTCGTTGAGACTTTATGTTTGTCCAAAGCCCACCACATAACATTCCTTGGTATTTTATCATAAGCCTTCTCCAAGTCAATAAAAACCATGTGTAGGTCCTTCTTCTTCTCCATATACCGCTCCATAACTTATCTTATTAAGAAAATAGCTTCCATGGTTGACCTCCCGGGTATGAAACCAAATTGGTTCATAGAGACCCGTGTTATTGCTCTCAAGCGATGCTCGATAACTCTCTCCCATAGCTTCATAGTATGGCTCATCAACTTAATTCTCCGGTAATTAGTACAACTTTAAATATCCCTTTTATTCTTGTAGATCGGTACCAATATATTTCTCCTCCACTCGTCAGACATCTTGTTCGATCGAAAAATATGGTTGAACAGCTTGGTTAGCCATACTATAGCTATGTCCCCTAGTAATCTCCACACCTCGATTGGGATACTATCCGGTCCATTGCCTTACCTCCTTTCATCCTTTTCAACGCCTCTCTGACCTCAGATTCTTGGATTCTCTGCACAAAGTGCCTATCGGTGTCATCAAAAGAGTCATCCAGCTGAAAGGTTGTGTCCGTATTCTCACCATTGAACAATTTGTCAAAATACTGTTGCCATCGATGTCGGATCTCATCCTCGTTCACCAAGAGATGCTCCATTTCATCCTTAATGCACTTAACTTGGTTGAAGTCCCTTGTCTTTCTCTCATGAACCCTAGCTATCCTATAAATATCCTTCTCTCCTTACTTCGTACTCAAATGTTGGTAAAGATCCTTGTACGTTCTACCCTTAAAAATAACGGAAATAAAAATAAATACAAA